ATATACAAACACAACACAACCATATACAATATATACATGCTCACAATACACTAACATGATCTTTTTTCTGATGACATCATCATAAATGTATGAATGATTTTCTGTTACTTAGTCTACACAATTCCTAGTAGCTGGATCCTTTGAATCTATTACATGGATTTTATATTTTGGCAAATAGGTTCTTAATGTAGGAAATATAATCAGTGTGCCTTTCAATGATTCTGTTTGAATCTACATATTATACAAATTATGTTATCTTCTCAAATGTTTCTTCAAATAACACATAATTAACAACTATATGGAATCACACAACTCAAAGAATACAAACATGAAGTCCTTTTCCTCCCCATTTCTTACCATTTACACATACTCCTTGCTTCTTGCCCTTTCTACCTTCCTACCCAGCCTTCTGGGTAAATTCTCAAGTTACTGTTACATGACTTTAGCTAATCCAGAGACTAATTAAAAATTAAAATGCTTAGTATATTTCAGAACTTTGGAAATTTTCCCACCTTTTGGCCATCTCCCATTGGCAGCTATGGAGTTAAAAAATGGGAGAGTAGTTCCTTTCTTCTTTGCTTTGTGATTATGTATCTCCTCTGAGATCACCATGCTTCCACCGGTTGAAATTGAGCCAATGAAATTATGAGGAGAGTTGTAGAGGATCTTTATATATAGTTTTTATTTTAAATTATTTTTCTTTCATGTGGGACAGGGATAGAATCCAAAATCTTTAAGCTCTAACCCCATTCGGAGTCTCTGTTCTAACTTGACAAATACCCTCATGAGCAGACCTGTTATCTGGCCATAGAATTCTCAGCTTAATTCCTTGTTCATACTTTGTGGGCTTTGTGGAGACTCATTCACTTAAGTTCTTCTCCCTTCCCTATGATAGTAGTGACACCATCTCCTCCAGCTACTGGCTTGCTTGCTCACCACTCAAACACTGGTTTTCTTTTCTTTTTCTTTTTGTCTTTTCTTTTTTTGTGTGTTGAACTCAGGGCCTGGATGCTGTCCTGAAGCTTCTTTTGGTCAAGGCTAGCACTCTATTTGAGCCACAGTTCCACTTCTACTTCTTTCTTTTTGCTTTTTGTTTGTTTTTTGTTTTTGTTTATAGGTTTATCAGAGATATGAATCTCACAGACTTTCCAACCTAAACTGGCTTTTAACTGAGATCCTGGAATCTCATCTTCCTGAGTAGCTAGGATTAAGGGCACTTGGATTATGGCACTAGGATTATATGCCACTTGTGTGCGCAGCTTCCTTTACATTATTAATAGCAACTAGATTGTCCACCCCTCTGATTCTGTTTTCCTGGGAAGGAGGGAGACACTCACTATGCAGCAAATAATATGTTCTTCCAAGTGGTTATGTTAAGCTTTTCACTTGATTTAAGAAGACATCAGTCTGTATAGCTGTACGACATTCTGCTCTACTATGTTTAATCTTCTCTACCATATTATAAGCTAGAAAAGAGTGATCACCTGTGATTCTATGGTCTCTGTGTTGTCACCCAAGTTCTAGAGACTGGTGTAAAAATGCAATATCAATTTTCTTTGTTCTTCCACTGCAACTGCAATCTCAATGAGATGAGTTCTCAATGCTTGTATTTATATGCTTAATATTTTATAATGTTTGATTTGATATAAATTCTCACTTATTCAGCATCAAAGCATAGCATATCTTCATGTTTGTGTGTGTGTGTACGTGCACACGCCAATACTGGAGCTTAAACTTAGCACCTCACACTCTTACTTAATTGTTTTGCTTAAGGCTGGTACTCTACTACTTGAGCCACAGTACAGGTTTTTGGTGGTTAAATAGAGATTAGATTCTCATAGACTGTCCTGCCCTAACTGGCATTAACCTCAAATCCTGAGATCTGAGCCTCCTAAGTAGTTAAGATTACAGATGTGAATCACCATCAAGTGGCTCATATAATCTAATTAATTACATTAAAACAATGTTAAATATTGCAATGTAAATAATGATTGCATTTATAAACTTGTTTTGAATATGAAATGTTAAGATTTAAGATTTTTTTCAAAATGCAGTATATAATTGATACATTAAACAGTGATCTATTATTAATTTATTCATTCATATCACTCCCTTAAAAAAAATCATTGGTGAAGAAAAATACTTGTTTCATTTCCCCGTTGAATGTTCAGCATGATTGTTAGAATATTTAACAGACCTGCTCTATCTTTACAGTATGGGCAGGAATGAAGAAGGAAGAAGACTAAATCTGTCATAATATGATGAAAAATAACAGAAGAAATCTCTAATGTACAAAGTAATTGCCATGATTATTTGGTAAACACAAGAACCCAGAGAACACTATTGTTTAGTAAGATTATCAAGGGAAATCTTGTCTTTGAATAAAGATATGCTACTCAGAGAAAACTAATGCAAACATAATTTCACCAAAGTATTATTATCTGAAGAACAAAGACTGTTATCTTCATAAGAAATAAGCATGACCAATTCCTAGAATATGATTATGGGTCTATCTCTAACCATAGATAGAGTCTTTCCTGAGACTTTGTGACATATTAAAATATATCTTTTCTTCAGGATTTTTCTTTAATTTTGGTAGGTTAATATAAGCCTTTCTCTCCTGAAGCTTCCATTCTTGAAGAAAAAAACAAATAGTCTTATGTAGTCATATATTGAAAATGTAGAAAGCTGTTGCCAAATGCAAACGAGAAGCAAGTAAGGTGAGTAAGGTACTAATGCCAGCTATAATACTGAACAAATTAGAATGAGTAAGACACAGAAGGCCAATGAAATATGTGGGAAGAGAATATACATGTAATGTACTTAGTACACAAAGTATGTGCAAAAAATGTCCTTCTGACCTTACTATGAGTTGGACTGTAAATTTACAGTCAATTACAGTTGATTTGCTAAAGTAGAAAGAGAAGTTCACAAGATTATGAGAGGCATTGTGCTCACAAATTAGATACTAACAAGGAGCTCAAGAAAATGTAAATATTCTCAATATTGAGAAATTAATTCTATGGATACCTTGAAAGAAGACAAATTCCCAATATAGTGAAGGGATGTCTACATGAAGTTTTGCTAAACCAAGTTTTATAAGATTTATGTTAGGGCTTTAATTTAAAAAAAAAAAAAAAACTAAACCACTGAGACCTATTTATGAAAGGTCCATTGACTGTTTCAGGTTCCCGAGAGACCTCCAGATACCAGATCCCTATGGATGGCTTTTGCAGGCTTTGAGTCAGTTTCGGGCTAGGTTTAGCCAATGGGACAGGGGCTAGGACAGCAGTCATGATGGAAACAATCATTCATTAGCACTATAGCAAAGTGGATACTTGCAAGGGGTAAGAGAGGGGTCAAGTAGAGAGAGGTAGAAGAATGAAGGGAAGGGAGAGGAGAGAAGGCAGGCAAGAGTTCATTGTATATATTACAGAACTGAGAAATATAAGGGAAGGGGTGGATCAAGGGTGGGGAAGAAGTTGAGGTGATGACACAGCTCAAGATGCATTTTACACATAAACTCCTTGGTTACATGGCATCAAAATTCAATACATAAACTCAAGATAAATAAGGAAAGGGTTGGGTAGGGAGGGGTGGTGAGAATGTTGAAAGGGTAACATTGATCAAAATTCAGTATTCAAAAACTGCTTCAGTGAATGGCAAGTCTTTGGACAACTACTTGAAGACAATAAAAATATTCAAAAACAAACCCACGTAGTTTTATAACATTGATAAATAGATAGGAAAGCTTACATATGAGAGCAGAATTTGCCACATGCAATCTCATTACAAATCTGAATGTAGATCATCCACAATTTTCACAATTGTGCATATCTAGAAATGTTTGAGTTTTGCTTGTGAATTAGAAATAATGATTAAATAGTACTCATCGTCTCAAATACAGAACACACAAATAATGAAAAAGTTCCCACATATATTCAAGGAAGAGTGACTAGCAGTCAAAAAGTGTGTGAAAAGCTTATTCCCTTCACTGACTCAGACATGATCTTCAGGAAGAGTATTAGAATTCACCAATATCAGCACCACTGTTGTTTCAGTACCTGGATTTAGTAATGAGTTCTTACTGGACATACTACACAGAGAAGTTCACTAGAAATTCACACCAAAACCCATAAAGAGTATCCTGAGGAAGTAGCACAACTCTATCAACTTACAAGTACCACAGATGTCTCATCCGAGATGTTCTTTAACTGGAAATGGACAAGGAATATAAATAGTGATGATCAGTTTTCTCTTTCTAGCTCCTTGATTTACAAAATATAAGAAGCACTACCACTCAAGATGTATAAAAAAATAACAAACATGGTTAAGTTTTCTACAATTCAACTTTTGTTTATAAAGCTTTTCCCAAGAGCTCAGCTTAAAAAAGAAATTTCTTCTAATTTCACTATAAAATCAACATATTCTGGCTTAAGCCATCTGCTGCAGAGAGATGAGCTTTGGAAATCTGACATGTGCAAACTAGTATGACCAAATAGTCAGTACTCATTGGAAATTCAGGAATGCAGGGGTCCAAACACTACCAATGCATACATATCATATTGATGGCAATTACTTTGTCCAATAAAGCAAGTTTATTGGATTCTGATATCGTTAACATTTTTAATCATATGGCTTATGTCCTGGTTTTCATTACACATACCTCTGCCAAACTTTGCATCTTAAACTTAGTGTAAGTGGCTTTCTCAAGGGGAACAAAAATGTGTTGGCTAGAATCTTTTTTATCTTCATACGACTTATGATTCATATTATCCATTCATAAAGCAGCATCATAAATTTGGATTGCAGTACCATAAATTTAAAAATATGGACCTTGTCCATAAAAAGTTTGATTCTTAGTGTGCCACCAGTAAGATATATTTCTCAGCTGGAAAAACACAATTATACCATGGTAAGTAAAATTGCCAGTTCAGTATCTTCTTATGACATCATCCCAGGAACCCTATCCCTCCCACAACCATTTCTGCCACACCTACCTAAAAGACTTCTTAATATCTTCTGCCTGGATTGTTTTGAGAATCTCTTGGTATAACTGAGGCTCATTGGTTGTTGAAGATATGGCATCTGAAGGGCAGTTTGCATGTGTATAATAGCCTATCAAAATTCCAAAAATAAATAAAACTGTAGCTATGGTAAGCAATTTTAAAAAGTGGCAAACGCTGCCACGGCTGTTCTTTGGTGAAGATCTTGTATAGTGGCTAATATAGTCAGACTCTTCTTGAAGTCGTTGGAACCTTCCTTTAGGTGAAGTTGCTGGTTGAATACAATCAAGATGGAGATCTGAGGCGTCTGAGTGTCCCAGATTCTGATTCTCGGCATTATCTAGTTGGAACTGGTCAAAACCAGGCTCCTCTAATTCCTTCTCCATGTCCCACTCTAAGTCCAGGGCAGTGGTTTGAAGGTCATCATTGTCTAAATACTGTGAGTGGCCAGAAGTTCTTTGATCTGCATTGACCTTCTGATAAGCCATCTTTTTACCTATGAAAACAAGAAAACATATTGTCTTTAAGTAAACAACATAAAAGAAAAAAAATTAGCTATATTGGTGTGTATGAAATCTTAATGACTATAATGGTTCTTGTAGAAATACATATCTGAGAGATAATAATCAAACATATGAGAGACAATAGCCATATATATGAAATAATAATTGAGTTATGTTATCTTGTGGGTGTTACATAAGCAAGGAAGATTACAAAATTAAAAGGTATTCGGTAGAAAGACTGAGAAAATGTTTTTAAAAATCACATAGACACATGCACAATTAACCTTTGATTCAGCAGAACAGCAAAGTTACAGACAACTAAGGAAGGCAAAATTAAGCTTCACATTACACAAGTACTTTATACAATTTAAGGGCAAATACAAAAAGACAGTAACTAAGTATGCTAAGAGAAAAAGAAGAATAAAAGATTTTAGGTTGATTTAATTTACCAGGGCAAATTTTAAGAATACAGATGTAAGTTAATAAGAAGTAGAATGGCTAAATAAGAATCAACTTTCCAGAACTACATGAGGTGAAATGGGGTATGTCTACATAGTCAAAGACCACCAGAAAAAGGGAAATGTTTTAAAGCAATTAGAATGTATCAAGATGTTCCAAGGAATTGTGCCACAAATTGATCTGTGTCAGAGAATTTTAACTAAAAGTCTGGAATGGCACGAATCCAAAGAAGGAAGCCATTTAACTGCCTAGGAGAGTTTAGCTCATAACCTTACTACAGGAGTGGCAGATGGAGGTTTTTCTCCCCTCCACAGTTTTGGATGACAGTTTGTTGTATCCTGCAGAGTGGTATTAGGATAACTGGGCTAATTAACTGCAAGTGGTCTTCTGCCTGTCTTCAATAACCCACTGGTGCATTATGGTGGCAGATTAAGAGTATTTACACTTAAATTTTGTGTGTATTAGATTTGTCACCTCAGCTGGACGCTGAGGTTCCTCACTAAGTTTTATGGGTTTTCTGTGCTTCCCACTGGGGTGGATAAATAAGAAAGCTCAGCCGATAATTGATTAGCTAATTGCCTTTGAGCCAGTGATTGGCAAATGAAAAAGATACAAAGACTTTGTGAAAGGAAATGGAATTATGTTCCAAGTTATAGTCATATATCATAAGCAGATGCCTACTTAATTAAAATGTTTTGAATTTCAAGGAAGTTTATATATGATTAATCATTAAACTTTGTAAGGCAGAACTGTAACTTTGTCTGCACTTTTTATAAGCTAACCTATGTTGTAGGTAGGGTTCATTTTCATCCAGAGTTGACCTAATGAGGATGAATATCACATTTTGTCAGATGTAACAATTAACTTAATTATAATTATTAAGTAGGTTAAATGGCAACTGATTGACTAACAAGAAGAAACCAGATGTGGCATAGCAAAAATATTGAACAGGAAGCACTAGATGATTTGTAAATATGAAGTTAGTAGAATAAAAGACTTTTAAAATCTGTGATCCTAACTCTGTCATGTTACTGAAAAGAAAATCTAATAAACCTACTAGAACTGAGGTATACACCCTCTATTGGATCTTGTGGTTTCATAGAAATATAAGTAAAAGTTAGAGGAAATTTAATGTTATACATTTTACAAATGAATTTATTTTATTTTATATTTTTTCCATCCTAAGGCTTGAACTCAGGGCCTGGGGGCTGTCTTGAGGGTTTTTTGTTTGTTTGTTTTGTTTTGTTTTTGCTCAAGGCTAGCACTTTACTACTTGAGCCACAGCTTCACTTCTGGCTTTTTGGTGATTAATTGGATATAAGAGTTTCATGGACTTTCTTGCCCAAGATGGCTTTGAAGCACTGTCCTCAGAATTCAGCTTCCTAAGTAGCTAGGATGACAGATGAGTCACCAGCACCCACCTTAAATTTGTTTTATTTTATTGTTGCTCACTTGAACCCAAGGCTTCATGCTTACTCAGTTTGCTTTCTCAAAGCTGGCACTCTCCCATTTAAGAATGTAAGCCAGCCTCCAACCCTGGCTTTTGCTGTGTGTGGTGGGGCACAGGGATGGGGTTCTGTGGGTCTATGGATCTGCGTGTGCTCATGTGCTTCAGTACTAGGGCTTGAACTCAGCACATGCGTGCCCTTAGCATTTTATTCAAGGTTGGAATTCTTCCACTTATCCACCACACTTCCACTTCCTGCTCTTTGGTGGTTAATTAGACATAAGAGTCTCATGAACTTTCCTGCCCAAGCTGGCTTCGTACCTGGATCCTCAGATCTCAGCCTGCTAAATAGCTAGGATTTCAAGCTTGAGTGCCCGGCTACAAACCAGTTCATTTTAATATGCATTAGAAAGCACAGTATTTGTACTAGGTATTGCTTTCTTCTTTGACTAAAGGACCAGGAAATTGCTAGGTTTTGACATATGTTGTTTGTTTCTTTAAATCATCAATTTAGGGATTAATGATTAATTTACTTATACCCTCTCAATGGAATAGTATATTTTTTCTCCCACTTTAATGAAGCAGAATCTCTTTCTCTCTCTTTCTCTCTGTCTCTTGCTCTCTGTGTAAAGACTTAAGTAGTTAAAATATAGAGCATGGTTTATGCTTAAAATGACTTGGCATAAGAAAGTTACTATAGAAATGTGAGATTTCACCTTATGACCTCTAATTCAATCACTCAAAGTCATTTCTGTACAAATCATTTAAAAACTAAACATAATGAGGAAGAGTTTTCATCTCAAGCCTGACAATGGTATTTCATCAGATGTACATCAGCAATTTAATGCTTTTCAAACATGAGATAGACCCTTCAATTAGAATGTAATGCAGATAGAGATATTAACTCCTCACCATGATAGTATGGGTTTGACATGCTTCTTACCACTTTCAGAATTATCACACATTAATCAGTTTCCAGTATGTTCTATCTTCCAGGAGAACAAGATCCAGTCAAAGGTGGATGAAGCCACTTGATATTACAGAAATCCAAACTATTTTAGAAATTATGTTAAGTGATGTAAGTCAGCCCCAGAGAGACAAAGGGATGTGTGTTTTCTCTTAGCTGAAGAAGCTAGTTTTAGCTTATAAGATTCTAAGTAAGTACTTTGGGTGTATGTAATTGTAAACAAGTGAATTAATTGAAATATGCTATATTCAAAGGGAGAACTCAACTAGAGTAATTCCTTAGAAGGAAAAATCAAAGTTCAACAAAATAAGCACAGGAAGTGTGGAAGGGATGTGGGTGGGGCCAGACCGGAAAACGTAGATGAATGAAGAGGAGAAGAAGGGTAGAATGTAGTCAGGAATTCAATGCATATATTGCAAAATCAAGAAGAGCTAAAGAGGGGTTGAGAAGGTGGCTCAGTGGTAGAGTGCTTGCCTTGCATGCATGAGGCCCTGAGTTCAATTCCTCAGCACCACATAAGCAGAAAAAGCCGGAAGTGGCACTGTGGTTCAAGTGGTAGAGCACTAGCCTTGAACTGAAATGCTGAGGAACAGTGCCCAGGCCCAGAGTTCAGGCCCCACAACCAATAAAAAAAAAGAGGAGGGGGAGGAGGAGGAGGAGGAGGAGGAAGAAAAGAGTGAAAGAAGGGGAGGGCTGAGAGGGATGAATGATAATGTTGAAAGTGGTGACATTGATCAAGATGCCTTGTATTCATAAACATTGTAGTTCTATGGCAACTCCTTTGTACAACGACTTAAAGATAATAAAAAGCAAAAGGAATAAAGACCAGCAAGTTCTAGAATGAAAAAAAGATAAGTCCATTTATCTATCTACATAATGAAGGATTTTAGTCACCTACTTGGAAAAGTCAATTCAAGAGAGTATATATAATAAATATGTGTGTATAAAAGTCATAGTATATAGTATACATGAATACTTATTAAATATATATTGTGGCTGCTACAGATCTAGTCTAACACAATAGCTGGAAAACATTTTAGAATATGTACTATTTATTATACATATACATAATTATTATATATGCTATTATTATGTATACTATGTACTAAAGAATCTGGCTGCTACAGGTCTATTCTAACACAATAGCTGGAAAATATTTTAAATATAAAAATATTTAATTTTTTATTTAGTAAGTAACATATTACTAATTCCACTGAGGAATATGATAATAGCACTATTCCTTTAACATTTTCTTAGGGAGAACATTATAGACAATTTTTGAAAGAATCTAAAATATCTGTAGTTTTCTTTTTTTAATTAATTAATTTATTTTATTGTGAAAATACCATACAGAGGGGTTACACTTACATGGTCAAAATAACGATTACATATCTTATCAAGCATTGTAGCCTCCTCCTTTGTTTCCCCTTCCCATCCCTTTTTCTTAACAGTATTGTTTCACTTAAGATAGATGTGTGTTCATGTGTTTGTATACACATGTAGATAGATAGATAGATAGATAGATAGATAGATATAGATGTGTGTATGTATATGTATGCATGCATTATGTTTGTATGTATCATCAATCAGAAGCAAAACTAATAAACTACCAAAGTTTTGGTAATGTATTCAATTTTTATTTTTGTCAGTATTGGGGTTGAAGTCAGGGCTTCACATTTGCTCAGCCTGGTTAATCTTCTGGTGCTTTTTCATGGAACCATGTCTCTAGCTTAGATTTTTCCTGGATATTTTTAATATGGATACTACTGGACTTTCCTGTCTGGGCTGGCTTTGAACCAAGAACCTTCAGATTTCAGCTGTCTGAATTGCTAATATTTAATATGCCAATCTTTGGCATATTAAAATTTGACACAATCCTATCATTCTTACAATGCCTCTATCTGTAAAATGCCTAACCTTACAGAGACAAGTGAAGAAAATACTTTTCACTAGCGTTTCCAAATTGCCTAATAAAATGAAAATATTATGTTACAAACACAAATCATAGGTATTTCTTAGACATGATCATATGTTATCAGAACTTTATATTTTTCTATTACTAATGCCCATTATTCACTAAAGTAAGCTGTCATATTACTTTAAATGTAACACATGTGAAT